CAGGTGTAGATGAGCTCGCCGCCATATGAACCGACGTACTTCTCGTCTGCTCGAACAACACTCGTATTGAACAGTCTGCGTACCGCATTGCCGTTCTCGAGATCCACCGCTAGCAACGAGCTGTTCTTGCTAGCATCAGTGATGAAAGCATATCCTTCTCGTCCACCCAATGTCGTATTGACACGCATGTCGTTCATATTCATCCGATGCGACAATAGATCCTGGGGTATCACATAGGTCTGAAGATGCTCTGCCGTCGTCTCATTGAAGCTCATGAGCTTTGCGCCTCCAAAAAGCGCATTGGTGTCTGGGCTGGCGTTGGCTGGAATCCCGCTGTCAACCACCCACAGCCTTCCGCGGTCGTCGAGAACAATGTTCTGAACGTTGATGAAGCAGGTTGCCAGATCCTGACCGGCGGTGCAATTCTGGATAGCTGCATTCGGCCATGGTTCTTCGTCGTTGTACGATGTGCAAACCACCACGTTGCTTGGTGTCTGGCCCGAGTTGCGAGGGTATGTCAGGTAGAGGTTGTGCGCGGAATCGACAGCCAGACCAGTGGAGGGCTTTTGGGAGTCGTGGATAGGTTGTAGAGGAGGGCCAACGAGTGTGAAGTCTTGGGGATAGGCACCAATGGTATATCCGGGAGCGAAAGGATGATAGTCTCCTGATGATACCTCAAAATAGTCTGATGCCAGTGAGATGGGAGCAAATCCCAACGCCAGTACTATGAATCTCATCTGGACGGTACAATAACGACCTCGCCACGTCTCGGAGGCTGCAGGGTTTCTGAGGCTATATTGAGAAAGTTGTAGCGCGCTGTTGTTCTCACAACTATGTCAGTGAACGTGAAGTTTTATGCCCAGAGATGAAGGAAGTCTCGGAGCTTCACTGGAATAACGTTTGGAGGTCCCATGGTTCCTTCCCGCGTCCGTCTGTTGAGGGGCCCGAGGGAAACCATGACCTCCGCGTTAGCTACGTGTCTATTGGTTACCAACCGCATGGGGACATGGTAAAGTCCAGGTAATCCATGAGGATAAAGAGGGGTACCTGGTTTCCCGGAGATACTGTAGGCTGTATATCGCAATACATTGATTAATGATAGGCATATACAAGTGTAAGCATTGCGCGATATTATGAACGCGTATCATCCGGTCCTCATCTCGGACGATGCAGGCGATTAGTCTTCAAGCCCAGCAGAATGACATGGGAAAGCTTAAAACAACACTTGGTGATGAAATGACATCCGGATCGTCCTAAAACTAGTCGCGGGCTGATCGATCGAGATGATGGTGCGGGAATGACGTTTTGGCGCGGAAGGAGAGGGCGCACGACCCTTCGTGATTCGCGACTGCCGAAACGCGTCTGCTAAGGAAGGCACCGCCAGCACTCACAACAAACGACACGGATAGCCATGCGTAGTTCCGATGTCCACCTACGCATTGCAAACGAAGACAATGCTACATTCAGACTCTGAGACGCCCACGCAGTTGTTACGACTAGCCGCCAAACGCGACGAACCCAAGGCCCCATTGCCCTCGAAGCAGACGAGAGACTCTCTCTGCGGTCTCGGAGCTTTCACCAAGCCGTTCACGATCAGAGAGCACTCTGGCTCGCCGTACAAAAATAAGCCCGCCACCTTCAGACCCGTACGAGTCATTGGGCGTTCCCAGCTGCCTCTGACCTTCCTCGACATTTCCGCCGACGACAACTTCGCCCCAAACAGCCTCTTCGCCGCACATATAGATATACTGGAGGATGGAGAATGTGACAGCCAAGACTATGCAGGCCCGAAGATACTCGTCGCACGCTTCGAGGCGAAGAATCTACTATACGTCATAGAGCGAGTGAAGCCACGCGTCTATAGTATATGCAAGCTTGCGGGCTGGCTCAAAGAGAAAGATGTCACAGACCTGTGGGACCCCAGAAATCTCCAGAGGCTGCCAACACGACCAGGACCAGAGACGAATGCGGCCGTACAAGGAGAATGGTGGCGACAGGCTGCTGTGGAGACGCACCCCGTGGACCTGCCACCCAGACGAGCACGAATGACGATGATGCGACCCAAGCTACAACCAGAGATAAAGAAAGAGCATGCATACCAACCGGACCTGGCTTTAGGAGCACCGGAGAGCCAGCACCTGGACACAATTCCCATGGAACTCCCTCTAGAACCCATGCCGGACGCGCCATCACCACAAGAGCAACTTGCATTGCTCGTCCAACAGTACTTGGATGCAATTTACATGTCCAAAACCTCATTGGCTTACCTAGCGAAGGGCCCAATCACTCGTATCCGGAACACGTTTACTTCAGCCGAAGAAGGAGCCCCGCCTACGCATGAACTTGTCACATTCTTAAGAACTATGCTGCTGAGTCCAAAGGCCAGCGAGAAGAAATATCACGAAAAACTACCATCCTTGATCAAGGAAATGCCGCCTGGAAGCTACTCGGATGATGAGCACGCCCCAAGTGTCAACAAGCTGAAGAAGTCAAAGAAGAAGATGAAACTTAGCCGGGAGGGTGTATACCCACAGGAGGAGGCATTCGTCAGGAAATGGTGGCAGTCGGAATTGCCAGGCGGCGACAGTACGGCTCCAGAGACTCTGGATCAGCGCATCAAGAGGCGCATTGGAGATTTGCGGGTTCGGGAGACGCTAGCTCAGTTGATTCTCATGCTCGAAATCGTTGCGCTAGAGACGCTCTCTACCCAAAAACCACCAGAGCAACAAGCTACCGCAGACGGAAGTCAAGCCCAGCCCGAGCAGCCGATGCCGAAGAAGCGCAAGAACAAGCTTGATGACATCAACCTGCAACTTGATTTGCTTCTGGACAAGCTTTGCATCTGGCACGCTACAGAAGAACTAGGTATACTGGATTTCGACGAAAAGCCGTCACGACAACATGACGGACCCGATGGATCTGGACGAAACGGTTCGAACGATCGCCTGCACAGCTTTTGCGTCGAAGTCATCATCCCCTTCTACATCAACCGATTACCAGAGCAGGCGCTCATGGTGAACAAGAAGCTGGGTGGGCCCACACATAGCTTACCGACAAAACGCAAAGCTATTAGGCCACCACTCACCTCACGCAAATCCGGCAGTTCGAAAGAACCCGAGGCAAAGAAGTCACGGCGATCATTGGCCCGGGTCGCTACCGACAACACGGGACGGACGACTGAGCGAATAACACCGTCCCTGAGCCGATCTGCCACCGATTCCGCGCTGTTAGATGGCATCAAACGAGAGGGCAGCGAGGTACCTCTCTCAGCCATACCTTTCCGACGCAGTCCATCTAAGAACGCTCGGCAATCGATGTCCCAGATCCGACATCTGCAGGGTCGACAAATTGATCTCGCGGAGCCTTCGGCTGCTGCATCAGCTAAGATAAAGCACAAGCAACGTGTGGAGGAAGATCTTCAAGAGGCTATTTTAGCTTTGAAGAAGCCCAACCGTGGACTAGCTGCTGGTGGCTATATTGCCGACATTGAGCAACGTGGTCTCGGTTTGCCCAAACAGTCGAGAAAGCCAACAGTCACTGTGAGGAAGACGATCAGAGACGTTCAGGTGTCAGCGACACCCCGGGCTGGGCGGAGGACGAATAATTTGGTTGAGCAGACGCCAACCCACCACCATTACGATCCGTTCGTTAGACCTCCCGGAGCGGAAGCGCCCCCCTCCAGAGAGTTCTGCGTGCCGTCCTCTGGAGTCCGTCCACCAGCTACAATGGTGCCGGCAACGGGCCACCGCCACACGACGGCTCGAAGTCTAGCGCAGTCCGGTATTGCCGAGACACCGTCCAAGGCGCCAAACAGCCTCCCATTCTCTACAGACTCGGTTAGGAGGAAGATCTTTGCAACCCCATTGAAGGCGACGGCGTCTTCTACTGAAGGCAGGGGTCCAGCACAATCACACGTGTTCGAAACTCCTGTCAAACCTACAGGTAGTCCGCCTCCTAATGACGCCCAATTCACACCTGCTGCGAATGCTGCCACACCTACCAAGCCCGCATCCGCAACAGCGAATAAGATCGCCCCGATCGCACTCGCATTCGCAAACAAGCATGATGCTGAGCCATCGATATACGATGCGTTGGGATGGAACGACGACGATGATGGATTTTGATATACTTACGTGAGATTGTTACATGTTGATGGCACTGAATTAGCGAGCATACGATTGATTGGCATGCATCGGAGCATTGGGCGGCGTGTTTAGTATTCTGGAATTTGCGTTGGCGTACGAGAAGATGGTGTAGTTACACGGTTCATGATTCCCCTGGGTAATTACTAAGAGGCCAGCACAGCGCAGTAAGCTCAAATATATGCTCTCGCACACGTTCCAAGCTCAGACCGCCGTGTCCCCATAAAGTGCAGACTATGCTTACTTGAAGAGGACAAGTCCGTGGTCAGCGCACGCCTGCGGTGACGATGGCTGGTCTGGGCGACCACGGAACGAAAGAGGAATTCTTTCGCGTGTCTGTGTATCGTGTCCGTGAAGCGTTCCACAGTGTTTCTTTCGGGGAATTGCATGTGCCCGCGACGCGATGCCATCGTGATCGTGTGAGGCGACAGGTACCCGTCTGTGAGGAACCAGGGATCGTCGCTATAGCGTATATTAGAGCCGGCGTCCCTTGCAGTAGACGACTCGGGCCCACGCCGGATAGGAGAGACGGCCACTCACAGGGCAGCGCACCCGTGGCCGCGATGGTAATTTGCCGGGGATCACCAACAGTCGGCCCTTAGCCTGTGCCCCTAAAGACGCCTCCAGTTGCCGGCTGGCCCATGCAGCCGTGTGTCCAAAGGCCTAATCACGCTGAAATTATGAAAATCAGAGAGACGCGCCTGGTGTCTCTCACTTCTCGAGTCCTGATTTCCCTGCCCTTACACTACCCGACTTGGATCACACAGGAAGCTCGCGTCGCCAAACCTCGGACCCCGAACATGCCCATTACTGCAGCCAAGCTAAGGTAGCCGACCCATTTGGACAACTGCAGTAGCCATGGCTGTCGCTGCGGCTTCCCGTCCTGCGCCCCATGGACAGCGCTCGCCAACCCTGAGCGATGCGGGCATGATCCTCCCCTCGTTCGAGGCCGACTTTGAGCGCGCAGCCTCTCCGCCCGTTGCTGAGCGCCCGCCCTCGCCGTCCGACCTCTATAGGCACGCAAACTCCAGCCGAGTCAGATTAAGTTCCGCACCGCAGGGCCGGCGCCGCGCCTCGCAACAGACGAAATCCCCGTCCCTATCAGCACAGTCCTCGCGCTCCACGCTGCGCAACATGCCCGACTCAGACGCGCCTACTAAGAGTGTGCCTGCCCGTGACGATGCCCTCGCTTCGTCGCCCACCATCCAGAATGCCCTGAGCCGCCATTCACCCAGCACGTGGCACGGGCAAGATCAGCACAAGATCAGCCCTACTTCCAGCTCCGTGTTCAGCGAAGACTTCGAGCACTGGCCGGGGTTTGACAGCCACGACAACTTTGAGGACAGCGGCGTGGATCTCGAAGAGCAGGAAAAGCGCAACCACACCCGTGACAGCGACGCCGGCAACGGCATGGGCAGCGAGCGGTGGCACGAGGACCGCACCAGTGGCAGTGACGACGAAGACGACCCGTACTCGTCGGCTGCACTGAGTAGGAGGGCCGAGATAATCCTGGCCAATGCGAAGAAGCGGCTGAACGTATGCGCTTCTTGATGCTGCCACACATCGGACGATTGCTAACGGGAACAGGTTATGGAAGGCAACCTCCGTGGTGCACGAGAGTCACTGGTCGTCTCACCCACGTTCCACTCGAGAAACACATCTTCCGACTTGACCTCGCATATAGCGGCCAGTCGCGACCGAGACCGACGACTGTATGCTGGCATGGGCCCGATTCCTCCGCGCATCAACTCTTATCGCCAGTCGCTCCTCACCCCGAACGGTAGCCCCAGCCATGCACGTGGGCTGAGCGAGACATCAGTGCCACTCCCTTTCACGCCTTCCTACTCGTACCTGACCCGGACTACATCCAACAAGCGCGCATCGAGTGCATTCGGCCATACCAGCGGTCCATGGTCGCCCGAGAGCTACGGCCAGGGGCGATTCCCCATCAAAGAGTCCCGAAGTGTGGAACACCTCCGCAACCCTCGCTCAACCTGGAACAGTAGCGAACGCGAGTATGCTGCAAGATCCGCCTCGAGGAGCTCACGATCCCCAACTGCTCTGGAGACTCTGCCGGAGGATGAGGACGGACAGAGGGTGCATCGCTCCACATCTGCAGCCAGTGGTCTCCGCGACCAGATGAACGATCTCAAGGGTAGAATCTCTAGTCTGAAGCTCAAGGCGCAAGAAGACCACCTCCGACGCAGAAGCATACAGAGCCTACGCGCACCGAGCCCCTTTACGTCTTCTGACACATGGCATCCAAGAAGCACATCGACAAACGCTGGTTTGGGCATCACGACAGACCCGTACGAAGAACAGGAGCGACCCTTGACCGCCACTACCACCAACTCCCAGAAGCACGGCGAGAAGCTAGTGACGCACTTCAGCAAACTAAATGGGACCAACGGACACGCGTACTCTGTCCAACCATACGACCAGGCTGAGGCTGAGTCAAACAATCCGGAAGCATACGAAGACGAAGATGCGGACGCGACAGAGGAGTCAGACTTCGTCTCGGTCAATGGAGATGACGTCCCCGATCCGGAGAGTGTATACGAGGACGCCGTCTATGAAATGCCTACCATGGAGCGACACGAGGACCGTGTAGATGCGTTCGACTACGAGACCTTCTTCTTGCACAGTGCAATGGGCACCTACAGTGTAGAAGATCGCCGATCGAGTACTAGTTCGGGCTCCTCTGCCGCAACTACGCGGCCCGTGACAGCTGTCCAGACAACGGATGAACTCGGCATTGGCGAGAAGAGAGCGTCATTCCACCAGCGGAATCCCAGCGTTGACTCAGTCTCCACTGTAGCCACGTTTGCGACTGCAGCTGAAGAACAGAACGACGACGAAGAGGAAGAGAACGAGCAGATGGATCAGTTCTCTCAGCAGATACTGTCCAACCAGAACCGATCTGTCTCGCGCCCAGGGACACAGAACGGCCTCCTCTCCCTGCGTTCTGATTCAGCAATCAACATGCGACGCGCCAATGGCTCTTCTCCGTCGCAGAGGTCACTATCACGTGGCTCGTCCTCGCCTGGAGAGCTTGCCAGCGGACTCCAAACCTCGAGGATCTACTCCATCCTCACAGAAGGCTCTAGAGACGAGCCACGGGTCGCACTCAGCGAGGAAGAGACGCAGCTCATCTACGGCCTTGCTGCGAGTATCCAGAATGTGTGCTCCAATTTACAGCACACCTACGGCGATGCCTACGAACGCAAGGCATGGCGACGAAGACTTGACGAAGCCCGCAAAATACTTAATGGCGAGGGCGAGGATGGTGCAGATGACCAATCCTTCTAATGCTCCGCACCTAGCCCTCGAACTTTCCTTTCTCAGACTTACGGTAATGTCTAACTCGACTGTAGCGGTTTAGCGTCACTCGTTTCCACCTTTTACGAGCTTACTCCCTATCATGTGTAATTTGGGACATCCCCGACTTTCTTTTCGATTTCACCATTTCCTTTGCTTTGGCAGATTTGCGGTGTCTTTTTGCAGGAGGTCACGACTTTGGAACTATAGATAATTTCTCTTATGTGTATTGATACCCGGGAGGCAGCGGCGGGGTCACAGGACTCCGGTGTATGTGGACACGTTTTTTGTTCACGCGTTTGCAAGTACTTCTTAGCTCTAGAATCTAACATGCCCATCATCCATGTACGTAGGGCTGCGAGAACCAATCTACGATCTACCAACCCAGCACGTTGGGCCTGACCGAGTGTCAAAGCCATGTCAGCGCCCGTGTCTAGAAAGCCGTCAGAAGACGGTGGAACGACGGGGTGGAGTCGGCGCGAGATTTACCCCTCCCGAGGCTGTCACGAACCTAGATCCATGGGAGGATTGCCTCCAAGTTTGGGGAGAGCGCCCCACCAAACACCGTCACGAAGGCATTGCATGCATGCAAAATACAGTCTGCTGTGCGTTGTTCATGTACCATCGTGGACAACGAGGAGCGCCGGCAGGCCTAATGCACGTCTGCGACGCGTGCAGGTTTGCCGCGCTCAGCGATGGAGCGCGATGTGTGCCGGCAGCGCGCTACGATTGGATCGCGCACGGCAACGCTGGACTGGCGGTGTAGGAGTCGGCCGTGGTAACCACTGCAACTGAAGGCTGCCAACAGCACGGATACCCACTAGAGCCTCCGCAATTGGCCCACCGCGGCGTGGCTGGGGGCGTGCTAGACAGAGAGGGATGGGTTCCGGACGGCCATGCGCTGAACTGAAGCACAACATTGAATTATCCACACGACAGGCTCATGCAATGCGCCCCGGCTCTAACCCTAAAATTTTGCCCAGCGGAATAACTCCAACCTGCCGCCCGCATCGCGCATCGACGTTTCCCTGCGTCTGATCGCATCGACACATCTCACGATAGCTGGGCCAACCCTCTGCTCAGCACACCCGCCGCCGCCCACAGCTCCGGCTGAATACCCCTCGACGAGCCACCCCTCATTTTTCAACATCTCGCCTGCGGCTGGTCCGGGCGCGTGTGTGACGACGGTGGATGAAACGAACCGCAAGCTCCAACCGGCTTGGTGCGCGCAACGACTAAAGCCTATTCGACCCCGATAACGATTGGCGTTGCGGAAACACATCCATACACACCACACAGTCCTTGTGACCACTCGCGACGCCTGCTCCCCTGCTTTCGCCTCTGACGCTCACTGAATCTGAATCTGCGCGGCGCAAGTCTCCTGCATACTCCGTGCACTCTGTACCTGCTGCGACCGCGACCGTCTTATTCGACCTGTGCCGATCGCTGGTCCTGGAGTTTTTAATATTTGGCCCGTGTAATCTGCGACGATTGCATCACCATCGTCACCTGTTGAGGGCCGCATTCCTGCCCTCGTGTACTACTAGAGCTCGCCGCATCGAGACCCTGCAGCAGCAGACCAGCACCGCGAAGGAAGTCACGCTGCACCATCCCGCCCCCGTACCGTATACGAAAACACCTGCCGCCCGCGCAATTGCAACCTCGCCGCTCCACGCTCGCGGTTTCGCACGAGCGCTCATGTGCCTACCTCCGCCCTGCTCCTTCTATTTGCGCGTCTCACACTCGCACAATGTCTCCTGTCAGCTCTCGTCGCGCCGTCGCCGCCGCGCCATCTGCGAGACCAAGGACCCTGCCGCTTTCGAGGACTGGATCGGCTGAACGCGGTTGGGACAGAAAGAGTCGGAACATGCAATCCGCGGATGTTTGCAGCTACACCGCCGGAAACACATCAGCATGGGAGTCTGAGAATGACTGGCCCATTGCTGAGTTGATAGCGGACATGTACCAGGCGCTGGATCGGCTGGAATGCCCCAGTGCTGGTCACAAGAGTTCGAGTAGAGGTTTTATCTCGGTACGACGACACTGCTTTATTTGGTCTCTTGTCCATGTTTGGTGCACGATTACCCACACTCCTTGCCAACTGCTTTCCGCATTGTTTAATTCCTGGTTCAACTTCTAACAACTATTCAGCGGCCTAATCCCATGACCCAGTTGTCGCGGTCTCCTTCATCAACCCTCGAGTCCTTCCCGGAGTCATGGAGTCCAGCCCCACGAAACTATGGATCCCCACCACCGTCGTACGATGAATCTATTGCAGATATGCCCCCAGACTATACATCCACCGATGCGCTAGCCTATGCAAAAACGCCTGATTACTTACCGTTTCCTTCTTTCCGCGCATCATCACGTTCTAGTGTTCGAAATGGTTTGCGCAAACGCAATGCTTCGTCTCCAACAACTTCATTTTTCCTTGATGTGAAATCTCCATATGTGGACATCGATTTTGGCTACAGTGAGACAGGCATCAAATCGCACGCGAAGAAGAAGGCCAAGGCAGCGGCTAAGGCTAAACCTGCAGCCGCAGCTACACCAGCAGACGATGGCAAGAAGGACGAAGAAGCCGCTGGTGGTGGCGATGGTGGGGGTGACCCGCCTGCCGATAGCGGGGCTGGAGGCGATGGTGGCGACGGGGATAAGGGGAAGAAGAAGACCAAGAAGGAGAAGGAGGAAGAGGAGCGCTTGAAGAAAGAGGAGGAGGAGCGTTTGGCGAAAGAGGAGGAAGAGCGACTGGCGAAGGAGGAAGAGGAGCGGTTGGCGAAAGAGGAGGAAGAGCGTCTAGCAAAGGAGGCTGAAGAAGAGGCCGAGCGCAAGAAGAAGGAAGAGGAGGAAGCGGCAGCTGCAGCCGCAGCAAAGCCATCGATACTAAAAGCTACAGCTGACTTGAGTTGGGGAAAGGAGCCAGCAGCAGATGACTGGGCCTCGTTTGGTGCGGCCGCTCCCGGCAAGAAGAAGAAGGGCAAAAAGGGGAAGGTGTGTCATTTCGGCTTTTTAGTTACACATAGCAGCACGCTAACTCACGATAGACGGCCGAGCCCGCACCCCCGCCTCCTCCTGATCCTCCAGCGGAACCGCCGACAACATTCGACGATATTAACCTGGACGAAGGAAGTGCACCAAAGATTGACATGAATTTCAGTGATACGGGCGCATCAAAATCTGGATTTGGACTTCCCGGGCTTGGCAACTGGACCTCCGGCTGGGGCTCATCGAACAAAGACGCGACTGCAGAAGGCGACAACCCTTGGGGCTCAGATAAAAAGAAGAAGGAGGAAGGATTCGACTTCGATTTTGACGCGTTCAAGAGTCCCCCGGCTGAGGACAAACCTGCTGATGATGATGGCTGGGGCGGTTTACTCGCTTCCAAGACCAAGAAGAAGAGCAAGAAAGGGGCTCTGATTGATGACAGTGTGCCAGAGGTACCTCCGCCGCCACCAGAGCCTGAGAAGAAAGAGGAAGACGATTCATGGGGTGCATTCAGCTTTGGCGCCACCAAGGACAAGAAGAAAAAGAAGAAGGGCGCAATCGAAGAAGAGCCTCCGGCACCTGAACCAGAACCAGAACCTGTCGTCGAGGCTGAGCCGTCGCCTGCCAAAGAGGAGGACCCATGGGGTGGTGGTTGGGGAGCGGCTGCTGCTGCTGGCACCAAGAAGAAGAAAGGTAAGAAGGGAGCCAAGGAAGAACCTCCACCTCCCGAGCCGGAAGCCGAACCTGAACCGGTACCTGAACCAGAGCCGGAGCCCCCGAAAGAACCAGAGCCAGTCGTAGATCCTTACGCAGGACTCAGCAAGTCACAGGCAAAGAAGCTCAAAACCAAGTTGGACAAAGAGGCTAAGCAGAAAGAGGAAGAAGATGCCAAGCGCGCGAAAGAGGAAGAGGAAGCTGCTGAGATCAGGCGACAGGAAGAGGAAGAGGCAGAACGTATACGCTTAGAAGAGGAGGAAGCCGAGCTGAAGAAGATGGAGGAAGAAGAAGCCGCCGCTGCTGCTGCTGAAGCCGAGAAGGCTAAGCAGAAAGACGACACCTGGGGCGATTGGGGTGGTGCAGCTCCGACAACTACCAAGAAGAAGAAGAAGGGCAAGAAAGGCGCAGAGGAAGAAATTCCGCCACCGCCACCACCCCCTCCTGAGCCTGAAGCTGAGCCTGAGCCCGCCCCGGCTGAGGAAAGACCAGTTGATCCGTGGGATGAGTGGGGCTCAACACCCCCTGCTGCTGTCAAGAAAATGAAGAAGAGCAAGAAGGGTGTGCTTATCGAACCTGTCGTCGAAGAGCCGCCGCCACCACCGGAACCTGAGCCTGCGCCAGCACAAGAGGACGAGAAGGGCACCGACTGGGGCCTGAGTTCGATATGGGGCGGAGGAAAGAAGAAGAAGAAGAGCAGCAAATCCGTCGAACTGGACTCGCTTCCCGCACCTAGCCCAGAGCCCATCATCGAAGAACTCGCTTCCGTTCACCAGCCCGAAGACGTCGAAGAGCCCAAGGAAGACGAATCCGACGATTGGGGCGCGCCATCTTGGAGCAAGAAGAAGAACAAGGACCCAAAGAAGGATGCCCCAGAGGAAGTTATCGAGGATACCAGTACGCCCGTTCAGAAACCCGACGAGGATGATCCTTGGGGTAGCGCAGCCTTCAACATTGGCAAGAAGTCAAAGAAGAGCAAGAAGGGCCTAGTTCCACCGAACGTGCCGACACCGCCGGGAGAATTCGAGTCAGAGTTTCCGGCGCCGAAAGAAATCGAAGCACCTCCACCAGCTGAAGACGAAGACATCTGGGGTGCTCCTGCTACTGTCACCAAGAAGAAGAAGAGTAAGACTGTCAGTAGCCTGCTCAGCAAATTCGAACCCGAAAGCTCTCCGCCAAAATCGACAAACGATACTTTCGAGGATCTTATCTCGCTCGACGACCCACCACCACCGCCTCCTGAGCCAGAACCAGTAGTGGAAGAAGCTCCAGCGCCAGTCGAGGAAAAGAAA